GCAAGTGACGGCATTCAGAGGATGTCCTTGGCTGACCACCCAGGCAGAGGGACACTGGCATAATGAAGCCTGAGTGGAGACCAACAGAAAACCAAGTCTGAGTGATCTAGATGTCAGAAGCAAGCTGAGAGCCAGTCTGGGGCAGATTGAGGGGCAAGTCTGCAGATAGGCTGAGTATTCCAAGAACTGGGACAAATCCAGGGTCTGAAAGGCATAAAGCAAGCCAGAATCCCTGTCCCCAGAACCAGAACCTGGGTTAGCATAAGACCAGGACAAAATGGCCTTCTTGTGCTGTGCAAAGTCTGCGGATTCACCCGAGAGCTGGGTTTCACAAGTGGAGGTTGAGGAAGGGGGGAAAACACATCCCTCCCTGTTGTGCAGGCATCTGAAAGAGTTTCCAGATAATTTTCATTTACCCCCAAACTGCATTCCTTAAATATACATAGAGATGTTGCCTTTTTTAAGTTGATGTGTATTGTCAGTTGGAAGGTGAACTGAAAAGTACCTACTAATGTAGTTAGAAAACAAAGTAAGTGTCTGTTTAAGCCATGTTTTAGATTAAAGCCATAATTTCAAGACCTATTTTTCCAATGGTGAAATTTCTGCTGCTTCTTGAAAGCTCTGCAATCCGAGTTTTGTTAAGCAGATGGGTCAGTTTTGGGGGTGATGACAATGCAGCAGTTAGATAGTGGTGATGCTTACTCAACCTTGTGAGTGGAAAAAACTCTACTCCTTCACAGTGAACTGTACACCTCCTAAGGGTGAATTTCATCTATAAAATAAGAAAGATGTTTCAGGGCACCTTGGTACGGCAAGAACACATTTAAAGATAAATTGAGTCTACGGAATAAGCTATAGATAGGTTTTAAAAACCAGGACATCTGGTCACTTCTGAAAGTGGTGATACATACATATTTACCAGGAGATGTAGACCTCTTGAGTTTGATGATGGATGGATGGAGGGATAGATGGGTGGATGGATGGGTAGATAGGTGAGTGGATGGGTAGGTGGGTGGGTGAGTGGATGGAAGGATGAATGGATGGTAGATGGATGGGTGGATGGTAGATGGATGGGTGGATGGATGGATGAATGGATGGGTGAATGGGCAGATGGATAGATGAATGGGTGGGTGGATGGAGTTAATCAAAGCCTCATTCCTAACATGTAAGCCAGGTGCCCACATTTACAGGTCATGTGTGGTCATATGTGATGCTTGATAGACATAGTGTCTGGAGTCCAGGACACAGCCAGTGACATCTGATGGTGCTTTTAAGCATCTGCTTCAAGGGTCACCCTTTTCACCAAATTCCCCTAAAAAGTACCTTCCAGTGTTCATAACCAATAACTATGTGCTTATCTTACAGAGACTGTTGCAACTTTTTTATGGGTTAGAAGCAATTGATCATCGTTATTATCTGACGTTTGTTTATCCTGGTTTGCTTTTGTCTTCATCAGTACAATGTTGTTCACATTTTAATAGGCTAAGACAAACTCTATTTGTTGACAAAATCTGTATGGATTGCCTTCAGTTTGACCATCTCTCTGTGTGCCAAACAGAGGACACTGCCTGCCTACTGGGAAATGGACTCCTATAAAAACGAAGAGAAAAAGACCTGAAAGGGGAGAAATGAGGGGTTTCTGTGAATTCAGTTTTATTATTTCCACTGGGCACAATAGATGCCCTCGAGACCTTGCCATCTGGTGATGGCATGTTATCCCATACCCTTGGGGTCTGTGGGTCATATTCAGAAATCAAGTCTAGAATCTCGAATAAATCCATGGCTCCATTAACACATCAGGACCTTGTTGTTGTTCGGTGCCGTCGCGTTGGTTCTGACTCATACCTTCTGCACAACAGAATAAAACAGCCTGGTCCTACTCCATCCTCACAATTGTTATGTTTGAGCCCACTGCTGCTGCCACTGTGTCAATCCTGCTTATCAAACACCACATAACTGTTTCTTCCCCATCCCTCCTGTAACCCTGTGCTTTTAGGAGAGGGCCAGATGAACTGCATCTTCCATACCCCCCACTCAGCTAGCCTTGGGTTTCTTGTTTTGGTGTTATCTTTACAAAACAGAGTTCCATAACTGAAGTGTTCTGAGAATGGAGGACTTTTCTATCCCGACATCCTCTATCTAAGCTCTTTTTCGTGACCTGAGCTCTGAATGTTGTGTCTCCACCACTCTTTAGTTGCCACTCTGCACCCCAGCCACACTGACATACCTTTATGGGCACCCCAAATGCCATTTCAGACCCCATTGCCTCTGTTTGAGTGGTTGGCTTGGTCTACAAACTCCTCTTTGCCCATCTCCCAATCTTCACCTGCCGGCTCCTGTTTCCTCACATGGCTAATCTCTGTTGCTTCTGTAAGACTGAGCTCCCCTCTGCCCTCTCCTAAGAAATGTCTCCAGGCCTGCTTCCACTGTAGTGTGCGCTAGACGGGGAGCTTCTGAAGAAGATGTCTGTGTGTTTCACAGCTTTGCCTTCCTAGGATGGCCATGCGTAAATCCATGTCCAGCTCCACCCAACTGTTCCGTTTCACTGTTTCATTTCTAATAGGATTGCTTTTCAGCAGGAGTGGCTGTTTTGTTTTGTTTTGTTTTTTCTTTCTTATGCTGAGAAGGATAATGAGGAAAGAGCCTTTCTGTGGTAGACTGATAAGCATCAGTGACTACAGAGAACCTGACTTTCATTTTGCTTTGTTTGGTTTTGCTCAGACGGACAGATTTGGAAATTAGTGGTGATATTAGAATCAGACAGTTTTGCATACTTTTTACTGTGTTTTTGGTGAAGACTTTCACATCAGTTTAGATTCACCCTCAACAGTTTTCACACGAGATGTTCAGCAACAAAGGCTATCTAAGCTCTTCACTTGGGGGACCGCTCTCAGTCTTTACATTCTGGTTGCTCCATTAAATCTAGTTACCCCCCTACATTCTCATCTTGATTTTAAAGTAATTTGTGACCGTTTGATCTCATGTTGATGTTTTCTATTTTTTAATTTTTTTTTTATTTTAAGGAGCACAGTACTTCATGGGTGGTGGTGGTGGTGGTTATGTGCCGTGGAGTCGGTTCTGACTCATAGTGACCCTGTGCAGGGTTTCCGAGGCTGTAAATCTTTACGGGAGCAGAACGCCTCATCTTTCTCCCGCAGAACAGCTAGTAGTAGGTAGTCTCTATTTTTTTTCTAACCAATTTGTGCTTAGGCTGGAAGGTGACCTCAAGGGTTAGTTTCAGTTCCAGGTTTGAAGTGTGTCTCAGGGCAGCCGTCTCGGGGAGTCCTTCTATCTCAACCAGTCCATTAAGTCTGTTGCTGTTTTAGAAATTTGAAGTCTGTTTCACATATATCTCCCAGTCTATCAGGGTCCATCTATTGTAGCCATGATTGGAACAGTTGGAAGTGGTAGTTAGGCGCCATCTTGTTCTTCTGGTCTTAGGGTAGACTGTTTGTCATAGAGACTAGTTTCTTCTTTGAATGACTGTTCTTTTTCTTTTTTGGGGAGTGCTCTAGATGAATAGAGAACAACAGTTGTATGGTAGATGGCTACACAAACTTTTAAGATTCCAGACAGTGCTCACTACTCTGCATACTCGGGTGTAGAACATAACTTTATGAACAGTGTCATGCCAATTGACAGAAATGTCCCATGAGACTATGACCCTAAGTCCAGGAATCCAATCCTGTGAGATATTTGCTTATGCCTAGGAAGTATCCTGGAGTCCTGGTGTGGTGTTGCAGGATGATGCACTAGACTATAAGGTTAGTTGGAACTGCAAGGTTGGCGGTTCTAACTCACCAGCCACTTTTTGGAAACCCCATACAGGGTTGTTATGAGACTGAACCAACTCGATGGCACTTAAGAAGAAGAAGAAGAAGAAGAAAGTATCCTAGGCATAAGCAATTGTGAGGATGATGGAGGACTGTGTGGTGTTTCGTTCTGTTGTACATAAGGTCTCTATGAGTTGGAACTGACTCGATGGTACCTAACAACAACAGGAAGTATCTGTAACTGTGCCCCCTATGCATATTTATGTATAATAGTGTGTGCATATATATGTAATATATGTGCTAGAAACATACAATTTTGAACCAGCAAGAAAACAAAGACTCAGAAAGCTTAAGCAGCTTGCCCAGAATCTATCAGCTGACAGGTGATTGAGACTTCTAGCTCCAAGCCCATATGTTCCCTACAACATCTTGCTACCCCCTCTTTTTCAAAAGTTTCTACAGGTCTAATGGTTATGAATCGGGCTGTTAATCTCAGGGTCAGCAGTTCGAAACTACCAGCTGTTCTGCGGGAGAAAGATGAGGCGTTCTGCTGTTGTAAAGATTTACAGCCTTGGAAACCCTGTACAGGGTCGCTATGGGTCGGAACCGACTTCATGGCACATAACTACCACCGCCACAGGTCTAAAGTAACATTTTAAACATCTTTTAAAATTCAGAGCTAACTTGTAAGTAAAACTCTGACATCCCTTGGTATAATCATTATATTCTATGAAGTTTTGTGACCCTACTTGACTTAGCATATTAACCACCAGATGACAACAATCAGATGGGATGAATTTTGTATGTGACTCGTGAAAAGCAGTTCCAACCTTCTGCTTACAATTTGTAAATTTCCCTTGAATCCATCATATGATCATGAACATAATAACTGAAGTATTTTTAAATGCTAAACATGTTTTCATGCTAGTGTGGCTGGTTTTGTGCATTCTTAAGGAAAAGTGGACAAGGATAAGATGGTGATTTTGGGGTGGAGTAAGGGGGTGAGATTATATAGATCAGTTTCAAAACATTCTTTCCGAGAAGACAAGAAGATTTTTAAAACCGTATTCTAGCAATCTCAGAGTCTGAAGCCCTGTTCTAATCTAAAAAGCATTAGTCTCTCAGAATATCGTCCTTTCTTATGCTTTCCAGAAGTATAATTCAGCATCCCCCTTTTTGTTGTAATCAAAAGTGCTCATTTGTATCTGATGTTTATTTTCTTTTCAGGTGACCTTTCAAATCGCCCCTCCATGTACTAGCGAGAGGCATTATGAGCATTTTGGGAGGTGCTGCAACAAATGTGAGCCAGGTATGTGATTCTGAGCTACCTTTCATCTTCTCCCAAAAGTGACTGGAGTTTTGTCTATTTTTTTAAACTAAGCAATAATTTTTGTCTTGCCAGATTTAAAAAAAAACGAAATTGAATAGACTTTTCATGGTAGTGGTAGGTAATAACATCTGTCACTCCAAAGACACAATGATTTCTGTTAGAAAACCACTTAAAAGTCCAAAGCAATTTCAGAAACCAGTACTTAATTCATGTGGAAACACAATTTTCCAAAACACTCTTTCTCAAGAAGACAAGATGATTCTTAAAACCATATTTTAGCAATCCCCAAATGTGAATAACAGCTCTAATCTAAAAATCATTGTTTTCACAGAATTTTTTGGTGGAATAACCATTCTGGAATGGTCAACTGCTAAAAATTGCCTTGACCTTCCTAAACCTTCTCCCCGCATACCTTGCTGAGAAGCAGAAGGCAGACTGATCGCCAATGTCTCAGAGTTGTTCTTCCAGAAATGTAACTAAGTCTTATACAACCCCAGGGGGCCCCAGGTCAAACAGGGTCCTCACTTTCTTATGGTTCAGGGAAAGGAAGGGTATTTTTGAGGACAAGGTGATGTAACCTTACAGTAAGACCCTTGGACATTTCAGCTACAAATATTTTTTGGATCTGCAAAACCAAGAGCTAATGATTTTCAAGAGAATGTATATGTGTAGGACTGTGGTCAAACTAGGGCATGCAGAAGCCCACAGTGACTAAAGAAGTTCCCTATTCAGATTGAAGGTAGAGGGAATTTAAAGATGGAGAGAGAGAGGGGATGAAGTTCCTCGGGCTTAGCCTCTTGTTCCTTGAGGGAGTTTCAAAGAACACTTCAAGTTCTGCAAGATCCAGCTTGAAAACCATAGTTCTATCAGCACTGGGCTTTGAACCACAAGGTCGGCATTTCAAACCCACCAGCTGCTCCTTGGACACCCTATACAGGATCTCTGTGAGGTGGAATTGACTTGATGGCACTTAACAATAAGGCAACAGAGATTTGGGGTGCAAAGGATGCTCTTTTGCTCAGTGCTATTGTTTGTTGCCATTGAGTAAGCGCCAACTCATAGTGCCCTTGCATGCAACATACTGGAAGGTTGTCTGGCTGTGCCACCCTCATGAATGTTGGTATGTTTGAGTCTGTTGTTGGCAGCTGTTGTGCCAGTCTACCTCATGGAGAGTTTCCCTCATTTCCGCTGACCCTCTACTTCATCAAACAGGTGTCCTGTTCTAGTTATTGACCTTACTGTTGCTACCAGAGATGACACCAACCCAGGAGGGCTTCTTTTACTGGCTGAAAGCACAGAATGCTGCATTCATTGTGCCTGTCACCTTGTTTGATATATCATGACTTTGGAAGACTTCTTGGGATCATGGTCATATAAATTGGTCAAGTAAATTAGAGCTTTCCCCCTCCCGCCTTTTAATTTCAGGAAAGTACATGTCTTCTAAGTGTACTACTACCTCCGAAAGTATTTGTCTACCCTGTGGCCCTGATGAATACTTGGACACGTGGAACGAAGAAGACAAATGTTTGCTGCATCAAGTTTGTGACACAGGTAAAGTTTGTCTAGTCTGTGAGATGTGTTTGTCTTCTGTCCTTCAAAGCTCCTCTTCTATAGGCACGAGACTTGGGGGCCCACAGGAAAGAAATAATGATCATAGGCCCCAGAGAGATGTACTTCAGATCCTTGATGCCCTTGAGAAAGTTCGATGGCTATTTTAGATTATGTTTCTTGGCCCTTTAACCGTGGGTGACATTTTATAGTTGACAAAATACTTCCACGATGTATACACCTGTGCTGCATCATTTATTTCTCCCAGAAACCCTTGATTATTTCAAGCTATGATTGCTCCATTGTAAAGATGAAGAAACAACCTCAGAGAGAGGTTGAATGACTTCTCCAAGATTAAAAAATGAGGCTCAAAGCATGATCTTCTGACTTTTAAGACTTGGTCTTGATGTGTCTTACTAACTGCAGTTTGAATCCAGACTACACTGCCATAAATTTTGTCATCTCAAATGTTTTGCTGATTTATTTGTAGGAATCAGGATCAAAATAGGTTCCTTATGTCTCTTAGAGGTTCCTTTCTCTCTTTTTCTTTTTATTATTTAGTTTATTTGTTAAAGAGCCACATTCTTAGTTTTGTGTCGTTTCTGCCATTTAGATTTTCCTGGTTGCATTTTGGCATGGTTTTACCTATTCCTCTGTCTTCTATACAGCATTTCCCGCAGATTGGCTGATAGATCTAGAAGGTTGATCAGAGTCTGGGTTTTGCTTGGTTTTTCAAAAGTGCTTCACAGTTGGTGTAGTGTACTTACATCTAGAATCATCTTATAAAAGCTGCATAGCTCTTTTTGTGATATTAGCTGCTGTTGATGATGATGATGGTCTAGACCCATTTTCATTTCCATCACCTACAGGAAGGTGACGCTCTAATCCTATCATGCCTTTTTATTTATTAGCTGGAGTACTTTATAAAGAGAAATTTCCCTCGCTACCTATTGGGTTCCCTAAGGTTTAGCATACATGTTGTTGTTGTTAGGTGCCATTGAGTTGGTTCCAATTCATAGTGACCCTGTATAGGTTTTCCCAAGAACCAAGCACTGGTTTATGGCCCAGTGTTTATCCTATACAGGGTCGCTAAGAGTCAGAACCTACTCAAAGGTACTTAACAACAAGAAGCTTACCCCATAGAGCCCCACCAGGACTCCCTACTGTACATGTTGTTGTTGTTGTTGTTAGTTGCCATCAAGTTGATACCGACCCATAGCGACTTTATGCACAGCAGAATGAAACACTGCCTGATCCTGGGCCAACCTCACTATCATTGCCACACTTGAGCCCATTGATGCTGCCACTTGGCCAGTTCATCTCATTGGGGGGGTCTTCCTCTCTTTCTCTGATCATCCACCTTACCAAACATGATATCCTTCTCCAGCAACTCGTATACATAGGAAGCCCAAACACCAAACTCATGGCCATTGAGTGAATTCTAACTCATAGGGACCCTATTGAACACAGTTGTTGATGTTGTTGTCAAGTGCCAGCAAGTGGGTTCTGGTCCATAGTGACCCTGAATAGGGTTTCGAAGAAGTGGTGGGTGAGCTTGAACTGCCGACCTTGCAGTTCAAACTGACTCTGCACACAGTAGAACTACTTTATATGGTTTCTGAGGCTGTAAATCTTTATGGGAGCAGGAAGATTCATCTTTCTCCCAGACAGTGATAGGTAAGTTTGAACCATTGACCTTGCGGTTAGTAGCCCAGTGTGCAACCCACTGCGCCACTAGTACTCCTACACATAGAAGTTGTTGTTGTTGTTGTCTTATTTCCAACTCACAGCGACCGTTTATAGGGTTTCTAAGGAGCGGAGGTGATGGTTCCCAGTCCAGTTCTGATCCTACAGCACCATACCAGGTGTCCTTCCAAGCTCTACTTGGACATTTTTTGTCCTAAACATGGAGTTGCCATATCTCCAAGGAGTTTTGGTTGAACATATTCTTTAAGACTCTCAGACTGTATGCTAGGGAGGCTCATTGCTACTGGATTGGTCTTTGTGTCTAGGTTTTGTTTTCCCAGTGGACAGAACTGGGAACTAAGTATTATTTTTAAAACCACACTGATTCTGATGTGTTAGAGACAGCTGGCAGAGTTCGGCGAGAGAAGGCAACATGGAAACTCCACTGAGCAGAAGCCACTGCTGAATCCTTTTTTATCTCCCACTGCTTGGTAATGACCTTGACTCATCGCTGTCTCTTGGAAATACAGATTCATTCTGTCCACTGCTAGACTGATTCATCCAAATGCCTGGCGCATTAAGATATTTAAATGCCTCACAATTGTTCATTGCCAAACAGGTATATATCTGCCTGCCTTTGAGAAGGGTACTGGGAGTCATTAGACTTTTCCAGGGAAGAGCTCTGTGTATCAAGTCCGTACTTGTCCTGGTTCTGCACAGCTGGTCTTGGCTTTGGTGAGCGGACACAGAGGGAGCAGGGATTTCTCAGGGTCATCGTGCTGAAAAGAATGAGATTAGGAAATATCCCCTCCCTGCTGGCTGGAACTTGAGGAAATGAAGAAGGGGTGGTTAGTTTTTCCTATTGGAACTTGGGGGTAGAAGGTCTGTTGGATAGACTTGTGTCGTAATATATAAGCAGAGTCCTGGTGTGACACCGTAGGATAAGCACTCTACTGCTAAGTCTGTTTGAACCACAAGGTGGGTGGTTCAAACTCACCAGTTGCTCCTTGGGGACCCTATACAGGGTTGTTATGAGTCAGAACTGACTCGGTGGCACTTAACAACAACAATATATAGATATGCTCACACATATGTTAACTGCTTCATGCTGGCCCCTACTCACGGTGACCCCATGCGCACTAAGATGAAATGCTGCCTGGGCCCGCACGTCCCCATTGTGGCACCACGGTGATCCAAGGGACTGGTTTTTGGAAACAGATCACCAGATCTTTCTTCCTTGTCATTTCTAGTCTGGAAGTTCTGCTGAAAAATCTTCAGCATCATAACAGCACACAAACCCTCTACTGACAGATGGTGGGTGCTGCACATCAGGTGCACTGGCTGGGAATCGAATCCTGGTCTCTCACATGGACGGCAAGAATTCTACCTGGAACCACCAGTGCCTGGCTTGTCTCTCTCTCTCTCTCGTCCTCTGTCATTCTTGCTCTCTCCACACACAAACACACACACACACCATACCACATACACCCTTTTTGTAATAGATAAACTCTCAGGTACCTGCATTCCACAAAAACTGGGAAAAAGCTAGGATTTTTGGGGAAAGCAGAGGGCACTTTGCTAAGTGCTGGGAAAAGGGAGATAGTTGAGCAGTCTGTGTTTCCGGGGAGAGTAAGCATTTGGGGAGAGGTGGGTTCTGAGAGCATGCCACTAGGCCCAGTCTCTCTACTGTCTCTCTCATACAATCATACAACCCTCTCCGATTTTAAAACTCTGAATATTCCTCTGGCTTGTCATTATCCCAAGATGGATCCCAAACCTCCAGAAACACGATTCTCGCAGGTCCAACCCAACATTTACTTTAAGAATATCTAGTTTTCTAAAAATTACAAAACATGACTATGTCTAACTAGTCTGTGCTAGCCAAAGTATTCGATTGTCACAGATTCCCCAGTTCACACCTTCTCACTGGTGTGAATGTGGACTGAAACGTCAATGAGGCTGTGTCGGTGCCTCACAGGACGTGTGAGGAGGATCCTGAAAGGCTGATTCTTGGTCTGGATGGTGTGAGACTGCAAGGCACACACCTACCTGTGCGTCCTTGTGTATCCTCGGCGCGGTACCTGTGCAGTGACACCCACCTCTCTCGTCTCTCCTGTAGGCAAGGCCCTGGTGGCCGTGGAGCCCGGCAACCGCACAGCCCCCCGGCGCTGCGCCTGCACCTCCGGGTACCACTGGAGCGATGACTGCACCTGTTGCCGCCGCAATGCCGAGTGCGCGCCTGGCTTCGGGGCCCAGCATCCTTGTACGCAGTTGGGTTTGTGTATTTGTCTGGTGTCACTCAGTCACACCTTGAACAGAGGGCAGAGGAAGCTCTGATTCTAGGGCACGCTGGGTAGGGTGCAGGGACAGAAAGACTCCCCAGTTAAGCTTCTCCCCTAGCAATGCAGAACATGTGCATTTCTTCTTTCTTTCTTTTTTGGCCTCAAAGAACAGAAATGTATTTTCTCGCAGTTCTGGAGGCTGAAAGTCTAAATCAGGGCATGCAGTGTGGATTCCTTCCCTGTCAGGATCCCCCGACATCCCTTGGTCCTTCAGCATCCTCCCTGCCTCCCTCGTTTGTGCATGCATGTCTCAGTGTCTAATCTGCTCTGCATGTAACTCAGAAGTGATTGGTTTCAGGATCCAGCTGACACTGGTCTGACCTCAACTGACTGATGTGATGATATGGCATTAGGGTGCTTAGTGGGAGATCTTGTCTCTCCATTCCACCTTCCCCATAGAATTCTATCCGAATATAGAGTAGAATTTTCTGCTTATAAGACTTCCACTGATCATTGGTGCATATCTCTTTGAATCTTAATTAAACAAGATTTCCTGTGACTGAAGGCTCCAAGAGTTAAAAACATTTCTTCTGGCCTGAATTGTCATTACAGTTATTATTATTATATAACACAATTGAAGATGAATATATTATACTCATATTTTGCTATATTAAAAACAAAATAAAAGCTTTGGAACTTCGTAATGAGTGGGATTTTTTCCAATTAATATTTTCATGGATGAATATTTCTTATTGGTGAAGGGCAACAAGTTTCAATATCCTTTCTATTTCCACGTGTTTTTTGTGTGTAAGCACTGAGAAATGTACTCACATAAACAACAACAAGGCTAAGGAAGGGTTTCTGATACATCAGTGTCACGTCATTCTTTTGATTCTTGATGCACCTTCTGAATTACATACCAACAATCGCAATGAGGTGGCATCAAAAGAAGTGTTTTACGATCTGTCATTTGAGAACTTGATTATATCCTGCACTTTGTCTAAAAGCAAAGAAATAGAAGTCACCTGACTTGCCTTTTTGTTTTCTTTCTTAGATTCATTGACTTTCCCCACGTCTAGGAAGTGTGTGTACCAAAGCAATTCAACACATGCTCACTAAGTACACCTGTTAATCTTTCATTTAGAGGCATTTTGTATTAACCCAATATACTTGGGCAGATTTGGGAGAATTGAAACATTGTCCATCACAGAGCCCTTATCATGCATTGACCAAGTTCAGCTGAACCTGTTTTTGGAAAGCATCTAAATTAATTTTTCAGTGATGAGCATACTTTTCCCCCATGACAGCCATCTCCCTTTTGAATTCTGATTCTACAACTAGAAAAAAAAAAAAATCTCAGAGCCCTTCTTCCAGTTTGTCATCTGGATGGTAATAAAGTGCTGTTGTCTTTGGGGACTGTTACCAATGTGCTCTGCTCTTAAGGGACTCTCCTTTGAGAGTAATGCATTGTTTTGGACACTAGATGGATAGTACAGGAGTTGAGGTGAATGAATGAAAGGGATCCCTCCTGCCCACCTTGCAGTATGTTTAAATTCAGAACAACTCAACCTGATGCCCAAAGACCCTTTTTCTAGTGTCACATCTGTGCCCTTAGTGGACAGGGATAGACAGAAGCCAGCCGTGGGCCTTCCAGTTTTTAACCTTGTTGCTTTGTGGGCTTTGTGGTATGGCCCCATTGCAGATTTGGGGTGGGGACGAAATGCGCCTTCTGTTTTAAAGTTGGAGAAGTGTGATTTTGAAAGGAGGAGCTCCAGGAGACCACAGGCAGGGCCGGAAGACAAGTGTGTCGGAATGAATGTCTTATCACTGTGGTTTTGAGGGCTACACCTCTGATTGTGTTCCTCTTTAAAAAGGCTGCTTAAATTACACGAGTGACTAGATATTTACTGAGTTTTTGTTAATACTGTTTCAAGGCAAATCAGCATTTATGGATAAATGGGAAGATCTTACTTCTTGAGTTAAATTGTAGAAACCAAGAATGAACTTCCTAGCTGACTTTGGATAGAGAAAAAGTAATTCCATATTTTAATAGTTTTTATTCTTGAAAAGAAATCACAGAAGTGCTACTAATTTCAAGAGCACTTTGTGGTTTAGGCATCAGCCAGTTAACTGATCATGACATCACGTGGTAGCCGATGTTCTTCATTGGAATTACCAAAAAGGTCATTATGTGCCAGTTGCAGGAAATGTATCAGGGGTTTCTTGTTTTAATCATGTAGTTTTTTTTTTTTTGAGGAAAATGAGAGAGATGAATCAGGTTGCTAATCCAGGTCAACTTCTGCTTTCAGCACTGTGTTGTATGGCATGGATTTCAAATCCGGCCCGCCTCTTGTATTTACAAGTAAAGTTTTATTGGCACACAGTTACCTCATTCATTGTTTTCATGCTCTGACAGTTTTCATGCTATAAGTAATAGTGGCAGAGACTGTAAGACCCACAAAGCCTAAAATACTTACTGCGTGGTCATTTACAGAAATATTAGCCAGCTCCTTCAAAGTTGAAAGGAAAGAGAACTCTTTTTTTTATTTTTAAATTGTCTCTCCAATAAGTGTGAGATGAATCTAGCCCAGAGGGGTCAGGACAAGAAGCTTCCCTTAAAAGCCGTGATAGGGCAGTTGTTCTCTGTGGGTGACGGCTGACAAACAGCAGAGGCAGAGGAGATCAGCAGGATGATGCCTGGTTAGAAAAAGACTCAGAGATCTGACACCAACAACCCGGGTTTCCAGACAAGAAGACAGTGTGAATGAGCAGGACCATGGCTTTGAACAACAGGGGCCAAGACCAGCGAGCCTAAGATACTAGGGTTAGCAGACTAACTTGGAGCCAGTAACACATGCTCATTAAGTATGCCTGTTAATCTTTCATTTCGAGGCATCTTGTTTTAACTTAAGATACTTAGATAAGTTTGGAAAAATTGAACTATTGTCCATCACTGTCAGTCCTTGTTGTCCAATGCGTTGCTCAAGTCAGACCAGCGTGTGTTACTGACTCCAACCTGACTTGGAGCCAGTCACCTTTCTGAACTCAATTCCTGAACATACTGCTGGGATCAGAAGTGGGGTTCACTACATTTGGGCAAGGTGCCAAGCTGGGGGGAAAAGGGGCAGAGGCAGACAGCACCCACTCTCTGTTCTGGGACCAGCACCCTGGCTGATCTCTAAGTGTTCCTTGTTTGTGTTCTGCTGGTTCTTTCTGTCTATTGTCTCTTGGACAGTGCAACTCAACAAGGACACCGTGTGCAAGCCTTGCCTGGCAGGCTACTTCTCGGAGACCTTTTCTTCCACGGATAAGTGCAAACCCTGGACCAAGTAAGTGACCACACAAGGAGCCAAGAGAGCAGGCTGATGCCAAACAGCCTGACCTCCATTGTCCCCTCTGAGTTGAAAACAGACTGATTCCGTTTGCTTAGACTTCCTCTTTGTTCAAAATGGATCAGTTCTGTCAATTCAGTGTGGGGAAAATAACCCAGTCAGAGCAATGCAGCTGGAGGGGTGATAGGAACTTTGTATTACTTTTTAGATCTGCAGTCTCTTTGCTTTCTTTAACCTTAGTTAGTTGAAAATGATGAATGACATTTATTATCATTCACCTTCTAATAGTGTGTGTGTGTGTGCTGTGTGCGTAAGAAACCTCCTGATGAGGTAAGCGTTTGCATACTGTAAATTCCTGGGATTTTTTTTTTCCCCTACATATTTTGAAGCTCTTTCCATGTGAGTTGATTTAGACTTTTATTGCTTTCTACAACTGCATAGCATTTAAAATACAGACGTATCATAAGTTATTTAATAAGTTTCTAGTCTCTTGCAGTGTAGATGATTTTATAATGAATAATCTTAAATGAATAAATTTCACATGTATGTGAGTGTCCTTCCTGTGGAATTCCTGGGTCTTTTCAGGACGTGTTTATATAATTTTTGTGGTAGAATACTAACAAGCAAAGTCATAATTCTTTCTGCTCTTAACATACTAATTCCTATTCAGTAGGAAGGGGCTTCAAAAAGTTCATGGAAAAATGGAATTACAAGATCATGGAAGTTTTTCATAAACTTTGTGAAGCCCCCTTGTATTTACTGTCTGGTTCACTTACCTTAGTTTTATGTTTTAAATAAGATTTTCTGTAGTTTTCAGCTTCCAAAGAACAGTCTGTCAGAAGCTTCTCTCTTCGCCCTGGTAATTAAAGCACCTGGAATCTTCTTTCCTGGAGACTCCAGTGTACGCTTGTGCAGATGACACTAGCCGAGTAGTTGTTTGGTGTTTATTCATTTGTCCACTTTCACGATGGTTCTGCTCCATTGTGGAAGGTACTAGGGATGCAAACACCCATGATGACTTGGGCTCCGTTCTTTTTTTTTCTTTGCTCCTCAACACTTCATTTATTTATTTATTTTAATTTAAGGTTTTTTATTGGGGATTGAGTGGAAGTTTATAGGGCATATCTTTAGTTTTACATTCAACAAATCATACACCCTGTTTCATTACAATGATTATAATCCTCGCCATGTACCATCAGTTAACAGTATTTCTCTCTATCCACTTTAGCTTTTTAAAAACCAAACAAAAAACCCACTCAGGCATATATAATAATTTACATCTCCAAAGGGCACATTCTACAAGTCGGCCTCCTGGTTGGGTTCCTTTCTTGAAGGACCTAGCAATCTAGTGGAATAGAACCTTTTGGAGCTTCTTAATTTTAAATAAGAATGTAAAATAAAAACACTTTAAAACTAAAGAAAACTCTGTGGAGCACAGTTCTACTACACAGATGGGGTCACCTTGAGTCAGAACTGACTGACAGCAACTGGTAGTAGGAAACTGCACAACCTCCATTTAATGTTCCTTCCGTCACTTTCAAAACATTTTTAAAAACTTGTGTTATTATTGAGAATATGCACACAAAACATACGCCAGTTCTACAGCGTCTGCATGTCCAGTTCAGCGACATTGGGTATAGTCTGTGTTGCGCAGCCATTTTCACGCTCTTGTTTCCGAGTTGTTCCTTTCCCATTAACATAAGCTCACTGCCCCCAGATTCCTATCTAACATTCCCAGTGGTTGTCAGTTTGATCCCTTATAGATCCATCTTAAAAGAGCATAATGCTCAAGGCAGACATATTTTACTAGTTAAGTTAAACTGTTGTTTGGTTTTAAGAAGACTTCAGCTTGACTACATTTTGCCTACAGCTGTACAACTCTTGGAAAAACAGAAAAACATCGTGGGACAGAGAAATCAGATGTAGTGTGCAGTTCTTTTCTGCCATCCAGACAACCAACAAATGGTATGTTTAAAGAACATGTTGGCTGGTACCCTAGTATAGTCAGTTAGTCAAGATTTCTCCCAAATTGCATGCTGTACCCAGAGGGGTTCATTTCTTCCTTTTCTTTTCATCCTATCCATGGCCATCTCAATATTTCTCTTACATCACTAATTTAATTGCAGATATGTTGTTTAATTGTTAATTTTTCAACATTGGGATGTATAACTATTGATGTATTCACAGGTACAAAAAGAGAAAGAGGGCTAAAAACAAAATGCCTAGATATGTAGGATGGTTATCATGGTGTGGGCATCTTTAGGGAAACGTTAATAGTCAATAGGAGTTAGAAAGTGGTTAGAATATAGCTATAATTATTTGTGGGAAACTTTTGTAGATAAGATTAATCTTAAGTCTGGAGGAACCCAAGTCTATGGCCCTTAGTCACACCCTTCAGGTCTAGAACGGAAGCCACTCTCATGGCCCAATTTTCAACCAAGTGGCAGATAGCTATAGAGTGGGGACAACAACATTTGTAAGGTATTACTCACCATGGAATGGTCAACCATTCAAGATCAAAGGGCACCATTTACCTAAGGATAAAATTGAGACTGGATGGGAAGGAGGGTGGAATGAAAATAGAGTCACAGGGAAGAAGTGGTATCACTGCTTGTGATCCGGAGGGGATTGCAGTCATTGAGATGAAACAAAGTGTGTGATTTGTTGAATTTAATACTGATGAGCTGCTCTATAAACCTTCATTCAATTCACAATAAAAAGTTTCAAAAAAAAAAGAAGATTAGTCTTAGGGACCATTTCAGTGGTTGATGGACAGCAGATGGTTAATGGTGGAGGCTGGTTACTCCAGATGCGTGGATGGTGTGGAGGTGGGTCCAAATATCTTTACCTGAGTGGCAAGGAGACCTTCCTGAAGAGGTCATGGACCATGGAGTCATGGTATTAACCAGCCCTGACTAAGCCATGAGAGGGGTTTTGACGTTGTGGACATTGTAGCATTCTGGATATGCATTACATAGTCAGAGCAGAGTTTTAAAAGACCATTTTGAATGTACATTAAAAATGACTGAGAGAATAAGAAGTTATTTTAAAACGAGAAAGAGGAAAGCTGGGCAATCAGGTTGGGTAGACCCTGAGCTTATCTAGAAGGGTTCTAGTTATATCATGATCAAGAATGGGATACCGAGAATGGATACATTTAGATTGTGCTGTAGATGAAATGCCAGAAACACTTCCCAGGATGTCTGTGTTTCTTTCTGTTCTCATGACTCGCAAAACCCTGGTACCATGTTATTACTAGAAAGAGATAGGAACTTTCCTTTTGCTTGCAAAGACCATCCATCTGGAGATATTGAGGGCTCTGTAGGGAAGCCGTGAAGAAGCTGGTGGGTGTGGGGAGAATGATTAGAGTTTCTCAGCAGTAGAAACGTGCAGTGGGGCTAGGGTGGTAAACAGGTTTCAGCAGAACTTCCAGATTAAGATGGACTAGAAAGGAAGGTTTTGTGATCTACTATAAAAAATTGGCCAAAGAAAATAGTCCGATCCCATTGGGCATACATGAGGTTGTCATGGGTTGGAGACCTCTGGATAGCAGCAACATCAACAACAAATACACGGGTCTTGGCAGGACTGGACTAAACTAGGATTCCACTCTTCAGAATGTGAGTACTCACTGACAAATGTAAAGCCAGGGCTGGAGAGCTTCATACTTTTGCTATCCCAGACCAACATCATTGATTCTGGGTATTTACTATAGAGGGATTTGTTTTTAAATGTATAGAGTAAAATTAAATTAATTTTAATTTAACTCTAATAGAGTTTTCTCTCATTTTCTTCCAATACAGAACCCCAGATTTACTTGCCCAGTCTAATTATTCTGCTCCTCTTCGTATCTGTGGCATTAGTGGCTGGCGTCATCTTTGGTGTTTACTATAGGAAAAACGGGAAAACACTAACAGGTATCGTGTCTCTGGGAGTTCTTGAGAGTTCATCTTAAAAGAAAATGAATATGTATTCTGCAGATGGTGTTGGGAGATGTGTGGACTGTCCACAGCTGCGCTTAAAATCAGCAGAAACGCTCTCTGATTTGTTGTTTTCTGGCAAAAGAGCAGTTGTGTATGATCAAACAATGGTAAGCACTGGACTGTGAACCACAAGGTCTGTGGTTTCATCTCACCAGTTGCTCTGAATGAGAAAGATGAGGTTTCCTGCTTCCGCGAAGATTTAAACCCTCAGATTTAAACCCTGTATTGGGCGGCTGTGAATGCGTACCCACTTGTTGGCACTTCATAACAAATGAGCAAACAAAACTATTCTTGCCTCCAGAAAGTGGTTGACTCGTAAGCTCCATGTTTATGTTGAGTAGATCATGCAGCATCAGATACTCAGGGAGTTACATTTATCCTAGAGTCCAGCCATTTTATGTGTCCCCACTTTAATAAAAGTGACAAGTGATCAGATAAATGGTGGAGGAAAAGTTTTGATTGTTGTTGTTGTTAAGTGTCGTCGGGTCGATTCTGACTCATAGCAACCCTGTATGGGTTTCCAAGGAGCAGCTGGTGAGCTAGAACCACTGACCTTGCAGTTCAAATGACTTTGCAGTCTGACGCATTAGCCCACAGCGCCACACCAGGAGGGATATTGACATAGCTAAAAAATTTTAAAAGTTCATTATAGTCAGTAAAATGTTCATTCTCAGAGTGAGCAATCCAATGTTTCTTGGCGTCCTAGTTCTCTAGTGTTGCTGTAACAGATAAGGAGCTCTGGTAGCGTCCTGGATTATGAGCTGCTGGGCTACTAACTGCAAGGTTAGTAGTTCAAACCTACCAGTTGCTCCATGGAGGAAAGATGAGGCTTTCTGCTCCCATAAAGATTTAGAGTCTCAGAAATCTATACAGGGTCACGATGAGTCAGAACCAACTCGGTGGCACACAAACACCATCACCACTCTAACAGAACTAACAAGTGGGTAGCTTTAATAAACAGAAATTTATCCTTTCATAATTAGGAGGCTAAAAGTCTGGATTTCAGGATGCAGGCTCTAGGGACAGACTTTCTTTCTAGGTTGGCTCTGGGGAAGGTCTTTGTCTCTTTTCTTGGCCAACATGGTGACCTCCATGTGGCATGTCATCTGTCTTCCCATCTCTGCTTCCTTCATCTGCTCTTTTCTATCTCAAAAGAAATTGGCTTAAAGCACACCCTACATTAATACTGCCTCATCAAAATAAAGAAAACACCCACAAAAAATTGTTTACTGGTGTCTGAAGACATCATACTATGTTTGACTTTTTGACTCTACAAAGTTGACCCAGTAATTTTGCAGAAGACTTCGTCAGGTATCCTAAAGATGTGTTGCAATTATTTGATGGTCACATGACTCTCTTCTAGCGCACCCCCGTTCTGTCATTCCTTTTCGTGTCCAGTTCCTGGGCTGCTTACCTGTCCATCTCTGCTTGCCTGTGGTTTGACCAGTCCTCCCGCATCACGTACATGGACGCAGGACACTCTGCACATCTACTTCTTTATTTGAACGTTCTGGCTCCTGGTGTAACCTTGGCCATTTGAATCAATCAAAGAGTGAAGATGGGGATTGGAGAGGCCAATGCTAAGCAGACAGCAGGGTTTGAATGTTGTTGTTAAGTGCTATCGAGTCAGTTCCAATTCATAGCAACCCTGTATAGCAGCTAGTGAGTTTGAACCGCCAACCTTGTGGTTCAAACCGGCCTTGCAGTGCAGCACATTAACCCACAGCGCCACACCAAGACTCCGCCTTACACATTCTGTTGTTGTATAGTAAATAAGGGACCTGGGTGGCTCTGTGGGCTAAGCATCGGTCAGCCAACTGCAAGGTTGCCAGTTGAATGCCACCCCCTCTCCCCACAGCCTCAGCTGCTCTGTGGGTGAAAAGTGAGGCATTCTGCTCCCCTAAAGACTGACATCTCTGAAATCGTAAGGAGCAGTTTGGCCCTATTCTATACAGGGTGGCTATGAGTCGAAATCAACTCCAACTTCATCGCCGTGGGGTTTTGTTTGTTTGGGGGTTTTATAGAGACTATATAGCTTGAATACTCATTGGAGGCCGGCTAAAATGTTATGATATAAATTCATAGATTTAATTAACTCAGTATCATTGCTTCCATTTTAAAAAGTTGATGGAGATGCACACATTCTTCTCTCGTCTGAGAACCAACAGGGAAAGGGGGAAGGGATTTGGAGTGGGGCTGCAGTTTAGGCCTTGGGCCATTAAAGGAAAGACCAGCAATTCCAACCCAGCGCTGCTCCAGGGGAGAAAGATGAGGCTGTGTGCTCCCTTACTGATTCTCAGTCTCAGAAGCCGAAAAGAGGGTCGCCGTGGTTAGACTCAACTCGATGGCAGTGAGTTTGGTTTTGGGTGTTTTGGGAACTCACTGGAGCCTGGCTCGTAGCCCTCCCACTTGGATTTTACTTTGGTTGTAGTTGTTTTGGGGTTCGTTTACTGGAATATCACTCTCCCAGTCATATCCTCTTGGTCCCCGGAGTCAAAGGAACATTGCTGAGGGCATGAGAATGCTTGCCATCCTAACAGCAGCTCTGACAACCCCCAGATGTGCCAGAGACCCGAAGGCCCATCTGTGGACTATGTTTGACTTTTACACAGAACAGCAAGTGCTGGCTTTGATAGGAGCGGTCAGATGCCTTCGCCATCTTTCAGCCAGTACACTTACTTTCACATTTACCCTTGCAGGAGCTGTTCCTGAAAGACTTGTGGAGGACTGTGTTTTAAAGATAATATTGGACTGCTGTGGTGGGCATTAATACCAAATTCGATATAGAGTATAATGTGGAAAGTCTGTGTCTCATTGAAATCAGCCCTTACTTTTGCTTTGTTTTTCTAGCTAATTTGTGGCACTGGGTCAATGAGACATGCAGCCACCTACATGGAAATAAGGTAAAGTTTAAAGTTTGAATGTCTAGTCTCTATGCAGCTATTGCTAGTCAAATATTGAGGCGCCCTGGTGGCACAGTGGGTTACACAGTGGGCTACAAACTGAAAGGTTGGTGGTTCGAACCCACCAGCTGCTCTCAGGACAAAGATGAGACACTCACCTCCTGTAAAGGTCGACAGCCCCAGAAACCCTGTGGAGCGTTTCTCTCTGCCTGTGGGTCACTTGAAGTTGGGATCGACTTGGCAGCAGTGGGTTAGTTGAATATTGAGCCCTATTGTTTCAGGGGCCTCCTGGTGTGGTGCTGTAGGACAAGTGCTAACTCATGGTCAGTGATTCAAACCCACCATATGGTCACTGTGAGCTGGAAACAGCTCCACGACACTTAACAACAAAGTTGTTTCAGGGACACCTTCATGGGGTTGTCTAACCTCACATTCCAGCACTGATCTGTCTACAATAACCCAAAGTCCACATCAAGACTCAATCTGAATTTTATTCCCCTTCTGTCTTCTCTTGTAGCTATGTTTTTTGTTTTTGTTTTTGTACCAGTCTTGATTGTTTAGCAGATCCCTAGAATATAGTTGCAACTTTTCTTTACTCAGTAGTTATTTTAGTAACTTTTTATTTTAAGATAATTTCAAAATTCTAGAAAAATAGCTAGAATAGTGCAAAGAACTGCTACGTATCCTTTCCTCACATTCATGAGTTAGTTACAGGTGGTGACACACCTTTATTATTTGCTCTCTTTGTGCATATATGTGGATATAGTCTTCCTCCCTGAGCCATTTTAGAGTAAATGGTGGTGGTGGTGGTGTGCCGTGGAATCAGTTCCAACTCATAGCGACCCTGTACAGGGTTTCCGAGGCTGTAAATCTTTACAGGAGCAGAAAGCCTCATCGTTCTCCCGTGGAACTGCTGGTAGTTTTGAACTGCTGACCATGAGATTAGCAGACCAATTCGTAACCACTATGCTACCAGAGCTCCTTAGAGTAAATGGTAGTAGACACTGTGTATTTCTTAAGAACAAGGACACTCTCTTATACATCCATAATTGTTGTGTGCCGTCATGTCATTTCCCATTCATAGCAACCCATAGGGTTTCCTAGGTTAACATCTTTACAGGAGCAAATCACCTAGTTTTTTCTCCTGCCGAACTGCTGGTGGCTTTGAACTGCCCACCTTTCAGGTAACAGCTAAGCACTTCACTGCTGTGCCACCAGGGTTTATAGCTGTAGTTATAACCACCTTATACCCATAGTTCATGAGTCAAAACAAATTTTTTTTAACAATGATATACTATTAGCCAACCCACATGTGTTATTAAAATACCTTTAATGATCTCAGTATGCCCTCTAGATCTATTTTCCTAGACATACAAATGCATAAACTTTAAACTGTGAGTACATGCTGATTTCTCCAACTCTAGACCCAACACCGTGGGCCCCAGTTCTTGCTTTCTCTTTTCCATAGTTCAGTCTTCCTGGTCTACCAGTGTGACACCTGGATCCCATTCTTCTCAACACATTGACTCATTTACTCAGGTCTAGAATAGACAGCTCTGGTAGCGTAGTGGTTATGAATCGGGCTATGAACCTTAAGGTCAGCAGTTCGAAACTACCAGCTGTTCCGCAGGAGAAAAATGAGGCTTTCTGCTCCCGTAAAGATTTACAGCCTCGGAAACCCTGTACAGGGTCGCTATGAGTCGGTTCTGACTCCACGCACATAACCACCACCAGAATAGACAGAAACTAGCTTTAGAACTACTAACCTATTCCACAGCAAAAAATCTGCTCACGAGAGCTCAGTATCTATCACTAGAGCTCAGTATCTAACGACATTTTATATTTAGATTGAGGGCTTACAGTCGAACTCCCCTGCTCACATTTTCTCACTTGGGTTAGCTCCTCCGCTGACTGCTGTTGCTCATTAGAAAGACTATTAGATTTGTTTGTTTCTGGTTGTATTCCATCATGGGGTTCTCTCCTCATCTTTAGTGAGTTTATTTAATTTTCTTTCTTATACCGTCATTTAAATGACACAAGTAAAGCGTGCCACGGTGGACAATCCACCTGCACTTGTTATGGTGAAAACAAATAGTGTCAGCACCATCTTGGCAGTGTTGAGCAGAGCCACGTTCTTGTAGCTCATAGTACTGACACCTCTGCCTTCCCAATTTAAAATTTCAGGAGTCTTCAGGCGACGGGCTTGTCAGTGCTCAGTCAGGAGCCTCTAGTCAGCGCCAACTTTGCGAAGGCGTCTTCCTGCTGACTCTGGAGGAGAAGGTGTTTTCTGAAGATATGTGTTATCCAGCGGGGGGTGCCTGTGCGATGGAAGATACCACCCTGCTGTCCTTGGTCAGCGAGATTGAGGGGGACCCCTTCAGGCAGATGCCCATGGAAGACGAATATGTGGACAGGCCCGCCCAGACTCCAGACTCTTTACTGGTCCTGACTCAGTCTGGCAGCCAATGCACACCCCCTTTTCCTGAGCCCTTAGAGGTCGGGGAGAATGACAGTCTAAACCAGTGCTTCACTGGGACAGAGAGCCTGGCAGACTCCGGGAGCTGCCACCTGGAGGAGCCCCTGTGCAGGACAGATTGGATGCCCGTGGTCTCTGAGAAGTACTTACAGAGAGAGGCGGAGGCTGGCACCTGCCCCCACTGGGCGGCCAGCTCCCCCTTGGCAGATGGCTGTACAGGCTGCAGTGACCCTCCTGGGGAGGATGGGGAGCCCATGATGGGATCCCCAAAAAGTGGACCCTTGCCCCAGTGCGCCTATGGTATGGGTCTGCCCCCGGAAGAAGCATCCGACAAGGCAGAGAGGGGAGACCAGCCCATGGATGAGGCTGATGTGCGTCCTCCAAATGCCACGCGGGGAGGCCCTGGCTCAGGAAACCCCTCCTGTGACCACCCACCTGCCACTGGTAAGTGACTTCCTTGGTCTCTCACTTGGGAGCTGTTTGGAATAGCTGTTTGGGACGGGTGTCACAAACCATGTAGGGAAAAGGGAACCTCAGCTGAGACAAATTCAGTGGGTTTGATGGGTTTGATTCAGCACATGTATCAAGTTCGTGGATCATGCTCACAGCTGAAGGTCTTCATCTTCTACGTCTGGAACATTTTCTATGTTTACATGTGTCCCGTTCCCGGCTGTCGTCACTCTACTTAAATCCATCTCTATCATTTTCCATAGACAATCAACACTGATCTCAGGACTGGCCAAGATACTTGGTTTTTGGTTTGAGTTTTATTTATTTATTTAACTTTTTATTGTGAATTGAGTGATAGTTTACATAGGAGAGCATCAGCTTTACATTCATCCTATCGTATTTTGTTTCATTGCAATGATTACAATCCCCTCCATACATCATCATTCAACAGCATTTGCTTCCAACCAAAGGGTATCCCCTGCACGCCAGGCCCCCACCTGTCAGCATACAGTCCCTTTCCCTCCTTGAGTCTAGAGTCCCCAGCTGCTCCATCTCTCCACGTTTCCATCTCTGCCTCCATCTCTGGCGTCACTGCTTCTCTGCATAGGGTCCTGCTCTCCGCTCTTCTCCCTTGATGGTCCCAGGGTCCTCCACTCCTAGACTGCAAGATCAACCACTCCCCTCCTTTTGTTACAAAACATCTACCTTTACATTCGCAACATTCACAGTTACTCCTGATAGCAATTATTCACAGTTGAACCACAAGAGTCTTATCCCCATCTCCTTTCACCAGACCCGTCTAGACAAGTTGGAAACCACTCAGTGGAGATTCTACCTTCCCCTGCTTGAGTTTTATTTTTAAAGTAACTTGTTGTTGTTGTTGTTAAGTGCTGTCGAGTCAGTATAGGGTTTCCAAGGAGTGGCTGGTGGATTTGAACCACCAACTTTGAGGTTTGCAATCAAAGGCTTATCCTACAGCGCCACGCCAGGATTCCTAAAGTAACCTAGACTCCTTAGATTTTCCCCAAGGAAGTTCTTGGAAATTTCAGGATGATAAAATTATTTCATCAACTCTTAATTAAGCAGGCCTGGCAGTGCAGTGGTTCAGCATTGGGCTGCTAACCACCGATTAGCAGTTCAAACCCACCAGCCTCTCCAGTGGAGAAGGTCAGGCTGTCTTACACTCATAACGCTGGACAGTTTCAGAAACCTTAAGAAGAATCCTACTCTGTCAGGGTAGTGTTTTTGGTTGAGTAACATGTTATGTCAATGCCCAAAGAATAATACAGCACAAAGAGTCCTTTATAACTTCTTTATAATGTCTGCATACACATTCTCTTAAAGAGAAGTTTACAATTTAAGATTATCATAGAAATTTATCACTGCAACTCTACTTGAGTATGAACAACCCAACTGTTGAATTAAAATTTTTTTCTCATTAAAGTAAAGGCCCTGCACAAGGTCGCTATGAGTTGTAGCTGACTCGACGGTGCTTAACAACAGCAACAAAGTAAAGTCCCATCTGTTTGATTATGAGCTACAAGGGGCTCTGCAGCGGATTGTGTACTATGTGGAGAGGGCAGGCATAGATCTGAGAATCTTATGAAAGTTGTAGATACTCTCGCCAGAAAAATGAGTATAGGGATGTATACACAACATGTTTTCCTATTACCTAAAGGGCCCCACAAAGTCCTCCCATCCTCAAAAAAAAAAACCAAAACACACACACACACACACACACACACACACACAAAACTACATTCATGGATCACTTCTTCCTCCAGAATGTGTTTTCTTATCTGCCTCTTCATTTCAGCTTCAAGTTGTTGTTGTTAAGTGCCATCGAGTCGGTTCCAACCCATAGCGACCAGGGTTTTCGAGGGTGTAAATCTTTACGGGAGTAGAAAGCCTCATCTTTCTCCCATGGAGCGGCTGGTAGTTTCGAACCGCTGACCTTAAGGTTCGCAGCCCGATTCGTAACCACTACGCTACCAGAACTCCTTCAAGTAATGCCTTTGAATTCTAGTAAGACCTGCATCAGAAGGAAACCTGTCAGGGAAGTAAAACTCAAATATTTTCCACTCACAGAGAGTGCTAAAGTGGTCAGACTGTCTAACGGGAAAATTGTAGGGCCTGAACAAACAATGCAGGCCTGTTGCATTCCAGCTCTTCCGGGTTTTACTGTATTTTATCATCCTGAGGTAGCTAGATCTGGGCCCTCCACACAGGTTGCTTTTGCCCAATGGTGATGAGGGCTCCTCAGCGTATTTATTAGAATAACAGTACTATTTTCAGCTTTCCCCCAAACCTTGTGACTCTACTCGAAGTACACACATTCACTGATATATAAATTCTATAATATCAGTTCTCCCATTGGAAGAAGGAAATACTTTTCTTGGGATAGTTTTCAAAGCATTGATATGTTTTTCTTTCAGAAAACTTCATATATTTTTTCTCTCTTAATTTTAAGATATTAATGATTCTCCATGATTGAAAGTTTGGTTCAATTGTTGATGGCCAGTGTTCTAGTTCTTTTGTTTTCTTCCACTGGGAACTCTAGCCGCTTGGATTGTGGGAACCGGGGAGGCCTAGGCTTGGTCAGATCTTGGCAGCAGAGCCAGGGGCAGTACCGGAGTTTCAGTTGGTGAGACCTAGACCCAGAACATGACATTCACCCCTGAGTAGGAATCATCACTGTTCTTGGGAGTGTTAGCCAAGGATAAAGAGATTTTATTTTTTCCCCTTCGTGTCTTGAAATGAAAAGCCAAATTTGTATTCTTCTGTGAAGAGTTAACAACGACCTCGCCTGTTTTTCATTATCTTTTATTTCTCCAGCACTGAACATCTAGGCATAGACCAGAGAAAAAGAGAAAGAAAAAAAGTGTGTCATCAACTAAGTGGTGTTAATTTGCAGAAAGTTTACCCTGCTTTTTTTGTCTCGTCTGGTTCCTAGCCACGCAAAACATCCGCAGAAAGCCTATCTGAGGATGCCGGCAAGTGGGCCAAATTAATTTTCGCCTGCGGAGAAGCACAGCCAGATTGATTTCTGAGGCTGTGCTATTCTCGCCATAATTACTTCTACATGAACAGGCCTTATGGTTTCTGGTCAAAATAGCACGTTTTCGTTATTGCTTTCTTTCCTTTAAAAAAAAAAAATTGTCATACAATATGGTCTATAAAATGTATGAAAGATGGAGCTTGGATGAGAGGGGAGTTGGGCTAGATCCCAGTTGATATTCTAATGGCCACTGTTCTCTCAGGACTTGGAAGAGGTGGCTTTTTAAAAATTATTATTGGGTATTGGGGTTTTCATTTGTGTTGTTGTTTTATTAACTTACAACCAAATCAGGTGGCTTCTAGAGAACTGATGATGATTAGGGACTTCCTCATTAGGGAAGAATATCTTCCTTGGGGCCAACGTCCTTTTAAAGAGAATGATGGGTCTCCAAATAGCTCCACAAGTGTAGGTTATTCTCTTAAAAATAGCGCTCTAGCCTTCTGGTTAAGAAGTCCCCATCATTCCCCATCTCCTCATTGCTTCCCATCCTCCCAACTGCTTGGGAGATGTTAGGACTGGATTGCAGTTCTCGATCACTAAGCATGACTTTCAGTTAGTAGTAGCCTTGTTTTTGTTCTTCAGAATTTTTATCTAAAGGAAACTTGATGAGTTCTGTCTAGCTGATCAGATACAGATATTTTCACAGTTATAGCAGCTAAAATAGGTGCTTGCTAACCATTTTGTAATAAACGATGTGGTTTCAAAATAATTAAAATTAAAAAAAATTGTGCTCTATGTTGTTGAGGTGATTTTGGCAGTGCTATAACTCTTAGAGGACAGTGAGGATTATTAGCAAAGAGAAGTGAAGGGAGAAGCTTCCCCTTGTCCATGTCGTAAATGAAGATGCCCTAATTTCTGTCTGATATGATGTCTAATCCTGATGGCATGACGGTGGTTACCTTGGTTACAAGCCTTTTCACCTGGAGTGTGGCGAATCCTCACTGTGTGATCTCAAGGGTTGTTATTTCATGTGAAAGGAATGACAGTGACTTATTACTGGGTCTGTAGTTGGCCAGTAACTCGTGTGTGGCTCCCAAAGTGCCTCAGTTGGTTCAGCCACTAATGAGCTGAGGAGAGTTGTTTATTTCCTGGCCCACAACAATCTTGATGAACACGAGCTATCTATTTGTTTTCCATCAAGCCTCTATTGACAGTCCGTTGAGCTATGGAGACTTGGCAAAGCTTGGAAAGCAAGTAGTTTGATGCCAGAAAATAGAGAAGAAACTGAAAAATCAAGGTGGTCCCAGCCTGGCCCTCCCCATCCCTAGGCCAGTTATTCCATTTCACCATATGCCCACCTAAGTTTTGGCCATTGGTGAGCACCTCTCAGCTCTGTGCTTCTGTGCATGTGCTTGCCCGAGTGTGAGTCACTCTTACTCCTCAGGGACCTCCTTTCCACATCACCTGGTCCTTCTCGTCCTTGAGTACCAGTGAAACATGACCCCTAAACTAGAAGGGTGAGATGCTCGGTGTTCTGCCCATGGCAACTGCTCATCATTAGTCCTGGAATCTCCTCCCAAGTCCAGACACAATCTTCACCCTCTGTCAACCACACTATCTAGAAGTGTATGCTGTCTGTGATAGGATACTATCCATACGCCTAAATGAAGACTAGTTAATACCACTATTATTCAGATTTACATACCAAACACTAAAGCCAGTGAGGATGAAATTGAAAAATTCTACCAACTTCTTCAGGCTGAAATTGATTACATATGCAATAAAGATGTGTTGATCATTACTGGTGATTGGAATGCAATGGTTGGAAACAAAGAAGAAGGATCAGTCATTGGAAACTATGGCCTTAGTGTCCGAAACAATGCAGGAGATCACGTGATAGACTTTCACACGACTAATGATTTCTTCATTGCAAATACTTTATAAAACAACACAAACGATGACTATACTCATGGACTTCATCAGATGGAATACACAA